CGTGTGTAGGGGGCGGGCCTCGGGCGGTTGGCTCTGCGGGGTTGGCCCCCGAAGGCCAATACATCTCAGGGGCGCTTCTCAAAATTCTCGAGAGAAAGGCATAAAAGCGCACATGTCTCTATGCAAATACTGGGTGAAGGCCCAGCGAGCTTGGGACGGCGCGCATCTTCAGCTTACGACGCTGAGTCATGGGCCACTGCAGTGGCAAGAGGAGCGTGTAGGGCCCACTCCCCAGAAAGCACGGCGATGGGTCATCCAGAAACGCCAGTGTGCGCAGTACACTTGACTGAACTTGATTGGATCGTACCACATGGGACGTCCGGTCCAAGGGTACGCCAGGCGCCAGGGCTTCTTACCAAGGGCCTCTGCCTTCGCCAAGATGGCAGCAATCGCCCGACGAACGGGAGCAGGAGCAGAGCGACTCACGTCGAGAAGATGGCCGAACGCGTTGGATGGAACGTGCGCCTTCTTGGGTTTGCTGGCGACGCGAGCCTTCTTAGTGGACGACTTGGAAGTAGAGTCGTCACCGCTGGACTTACGCTTGCCTCGCGCGGGCGACTTAGGCGACCTGGGTGTCTTCTTGGAGGGCGACTTCGACTGCTTGCTCGACGACGTCGTCGACGCCGTAGCAGAGCCTGAAGAGGGAGCAGAATCTACCGGCGCGGGGAGGGCCACGACGGTTCCTTGGAGCGAAGCGTCGGTCTGACCGTTCATGATGTCCTCGGCGAGCTGGTCCAAGGACTGGAGACCCGACGACATGCTGTTGGCGCCCAGGCGCGCGCGCAGCTCGGTCCAGAACTGCTGCTCGAAGGCCCGCGCAGTGTCCCCAGGGGTGCCCTGCTCCTCATGGTCAAGTGCGGCGTTGAAGAACGCCCGGAAGCGCCTCAGCTCGGCGGCGGTAAGTCGTGTGGACATGGTGAAGAGCGGATTGTGAAATGAGAGAAATCCGAAAACAGGAAGTTTTCACTTGATGGCTGCCAAGGGGCACGCGAGAAGTTTTGACAGTTGGGACGTGGCGTCGACTGAGGGACGCAATGATGCTTGGTGACCTGGGCGGACAAGGTTTCGGGTGAAGAACCTTCCTAACGGCTAACGGTCTGGAGGATCTGCTGTTGTGACGATGTCACTTGGAAATTGATGACGATGTGGGGAGCGTTAGCGGAATGGGCGGAACAGGCGAACTGGACGATGGACTTCGAAGTGGCGGACGAGATGAGGGTCGTCGGCAGCGCTGTGATGGGGATAGTGATCTGGATTGCAACGACGCCTCTGCGGAACGTGTCGTGGGCGTTCCTCGACGGAACGATCGAGAACGTACGTGCCATCTACTTTTTCTGGTACACTTGCTGCGATCGCTACTTGGTGGCGGCTCGAAACGCCCATGCCGCAGCTGTGCCACCTCCGGAGTACGCGTGCGCGCTAGTAAAGCTACTGTTCTTGGTTCCTATCGCGGTGCTACAGGACTACGAATCCCGCTTTGGGATTACCGGTCGAATGTGCCTTAAGTGGTGTGAGGCGTTCCACCATTCGTGCTGCCTGTACGTTCCAGAGGCGAGTCTTTTGCTATGGGGAACGTCCTGCCGGTACGCTCGTGCCACCAGCGAAGCTGTGGTAGCCGTTGTGGATCGAGTTGGAGATTTTATCGTGGGAAGCTACTTGCTGACATCATTACTACTGTCTATCCTAATCTACCTGCCCCGCCTGGTGTACGAGAGCATCGAGGGAATACTATGTGGCTGGATGGGAGTGACGCTGGTTGTGTTGATCGTGGACGTCTACCTGGAGTTTGAAATTGGCTGTTGCTACTGGAACTTGGCTGTGTTAGTTGTCGGTTGCTACAGTTACGTGGTGCGGTATTACGAAGGGCTCCGGCCGAGCGCTATGGACCAGAATGATAAGGCGGCGAGACGCAAGTGGGAAGGACTGGCTGGTCGTATAGAGCGTCGTGAGGAAAGAGAGCGAGCTAGCGTGGAACGACTGCGAGGCATGCAGGCCGAAGGAACGTCGTCTGGAGTAAGGAACGAGAGTCCTAATGCAAGTGGAACGTCACGTGGGAACGTTCCAGATCTGACTGTGGAAGACACCGTGCGACAGGCCCCGGGCGATGTGGCTCGGCGAGGTCACCGAGCGTCAGTCGGGGAGGATTGTCACGATGTACAGTTAGATGGTGGATTAACGATGCTGGCTGACTGCCTGCAGAAGGTCTACTTACTCCTGACTCTCCGGACCACGTCCAAGCAAGCGGGACCTGCGACCAAGATAGTGACGTTCCAAGTGTGAAGTCGGGAAGCTGCTGGTCGTGGCGGGAATTGGAGCTGGACCGCCACGCACGAGGGATCTGCTAAAAGGTAAGAAGCTCTAAAAACGCTTAGCGAGGTGAAATGAGGAAGTCAGTCGTGGATTTCCTTCTAGCAAACAACACAAGAATATATCAACTTTTACATTACTATCCCAGTAGTGTCGCTAATACTACTACCATCTACGTCGGCCCAAGATACTCACTACCCCGACTAGAGGAAGACCGCGACAATCCGGGGTCTGGAACGCCGTGAACGGTATATCATTGGTCCTCATCCTGATCTGATCGTACCCCGAGAGTAAGTCGAAGCAGCTGTACCAGTATGACCCACTCATTCGGTCGAAAATCGC